ATTAAAATCGTAAAGGCATCAGAAAAATGCTCCATAATGTCTTTTGTATAGCATCCTTCATAGTAAGCAGGGCGGCTGAGCCCTGGGCAGGGTTGGTGGGGGTGACTCTGGGTCCCAGGAGGAGTGGGGGCCTCCAGCAGAAGGCACAGGCCTGGAGGGCTAGCCTCCCCCAGCCAGTCCTTCAGTTCTGCCCATGGCAATTTAAAGGGCCCATGGATCTAGCCACTCCCATTGCCACTCTAGTGGTAGTGGCGCCTGGAAGCTCTGCGTGCTTTTTAATCACTAGGCCCTGGGGCAGCTGCCCCCATTACCCTCCTCTCCCACTGTCACCAGGCCTGATAAAAAGTATGTCCTAAAAAGCTTTCTAGTGGGAAATAGCACAAAGTAGTATACAGTGAAAATGAAAGAAAACAATGGTGTAAAGACATTGTATAGCAAATAAAGCGCATAAGCCTGTTTACGCAGTGCACATAAGGGTGCACACAAACTATACCTAAATGGTTGCATTCGGAGAAGCATTGTCAGCAGAACCAGAGAAGTGATTATTCCCCTTTATTCGGCTCTGGTGAGGCCACATCTGGAGTATTGCGTCCAGTTCTGGGCCCCCCACTACAGAAAGGATGTGGACACGTTGGAGAGGGTCCAGTGGAGGGCAACCAAATGATTAGGAGGATGGAGCACATGACCTATGAGGAGAGGCTGAGAAATTTGGGCATATCTAGTCTGCAGAAGAGAAGAGGGGAGTGTGTGGGGGGGGAGATTTGATAGCAGCCTTCAACTTCCTGAAGGGAGGCTGTTCTCAGTAGTGACAGATGGCAGAACAAGGAGCAATGGTCTCAAGTTACAGTGAGGGAGGTCTAGGTTGGATATTAGGAAAACTATTTCACTAGGAAGGTGGTGAAGCACTGGAATGGGTTACCTAGGGAGGTGGTGGATCTCCATCCCTAGAGGTTTTTAAGTCTCGGCTTCCCAAAGTCCTAGCTTGGTTGATTTAGTTGGGATTGGTCCTGCTTTGGGCAGAGGGCTGAACTTGATGACCTCCTGAAGTCTCTTCCAGTCCTATGATTCTATTAAATGGGAGACAGAAAAGCGTAGGCAAATTCATAAAAATGTCTGGTTGTGATTATAATCAATATGAACAATTCTCAAAATAGCCGCCAGATATGCCCTGGATAACGTCTCCCTTTCTTTGGTCATAAAAGGGTCACAACATTCATAGCAAAAAGGTAGGGCATTGTTTTTAGAACTATTCTCTGAATTTGAGTTTAAAGTTGTACTTGGCTATGCAAAATTATAGGGGATGATAATCAGCCCCTTTCATAGACCTGAAGCATTTTAATTCTGCAAATAGATTAGAAAATATTAATAGATGAATCTAGCATGTACTTCAGATCATTTCTGGGAACTTGTGCATGACTAAAAAATAAATGTTTTCTACTTAGCGTGTGTTCCTCATTGTATTGTCAACTAATTTAATTTTCACTAAAACATAGGCATAAAAGGCAAGAAACCAGACCTCGATACAGCATTGGACTTGAACAAGATGAGACTTACATTCCTCCAGGGGAATCCCTGAAAGACTTGATTGAACAGTCTCAGAGCTCAGGGAGTGGTTCTGGGCTCCCTCTGCTGGTAAGAAGGGAATTTACATGAATCAGTGTTTTAGTTTTCAGATAACTTGATAACCTTGAAAAACTTAAAAAATAACGAATAGTCTAGCAGCCCCTTAAAGACTAAGTGCTGCTAGACGATTTGTTGTTTTTTAAGCTTTTTCCAGTTACAGACTAACTCGGCTACCCCTCTAAAGCTTTTGATAACCTTGGACCTGCTGCACTTTATGACATTGCAGAAGACTCAAGAAAAGTCTGCATTTGAAATACTGCATTTGAAAATTATTCGTTTATTTTCTTTGTCATTTTCCAAATGGATAACTGAGAAGTTACATATTGTTCCTGCCTACCTACATTTAAAGCATGCATCCCCATAGTATTTGAGCAACGTTCAAATTTTTCTTTCTGTCTGTCTGTCTTCTATATTCATGGGGGATCCAGTGCAAAGATCAAAATACTGGGGCAAGTGTGTTCACAGCAACCCAGACTGTTAAGCAGACAGGCTTCTGCATTTCGAATCAGGACACAGTATATTACCATGTACTCCATAGCCTTAGCACAGCCTTAACATAGATTTTTGCGCTTAGTCTCCTAAAGCTTTTAAAAACAGAAATAAATGGAGGAAAGCAAAGTTGTTTGGAGGAATATGGTTTTTTTCCATATGTGTTTTTACTCACCTCCCCAAGTATTAATTTAAACTGGGCATAAGCAGGGTGGATCCTATCAAACTGTCCAGGTCCTAAGATCCTACAGGCAGCCAGGGCTCCAATCTGCTCAGTGGGTTGCAGGATCTTTCCTGCCCCAGCTGTGTTCTGCCATACCTGCTAGCCTTGTAGTCACTTGATTGAGTCTTACTTCCTTTTATAAATCAGGAAATACTCCTGTTGCTCCCTGTGCCTAACTAAAAAGTCATAAACAGATTTTCCTCAAACTTATAGCTCATCCAGTGATTTTTTTTTTAAAGAAAAATTTAACACAGTGAAAACAGGTTCATAATGGAAGTTGCATTGCAGACCTAACGCTTTTACTGTGGTGAACACAGTAATATATCCATGCTATTCTTGTCAGATAGTAACCACAGCAATAATCAGTTTACAAGTGCATGGATTGTCCAAAAGGGGATGCCCATTCCCATAACAAATATGTACAATAATTTGTAGTGGAATACACATTCCTTCATTTTAAGAGTTTATTTCCAGTTTTTCTTATTTATTTCCAGTATAAAACATTTGAAATTGCTTTAGAGAAAGCAAACCATATTTTTTGATAGAACTCATAAAATGTCACTTTCTGATCAACAATATTGTCTGTCTTTTGTAGCTCATTTATTTTACTGGATACAAAGGTTACAAGAAAGCTAAACCTTAACCAAGATACTGTTAGGAGTCCTTTGGAACCTTAGGGTATGTCTACATTACAGAGAAGATTGAAGTTGCCGCTGTCGATCTTCCAGGGTTCAAATTAGCGGGTCTAGTGAAGATACGCTCCTTTGAACTGAGAGAGTCATTCTGGTCATTGCTGGTAGTCCTGCTTCCACAGGGAATAAGGAAAGTCAATGGGAGAGTGTTCTCCCTTCAGTTTTCTGCAGTGCGGACAATGCCTAATGTTAATTTAAAGAATTTTGACTTCAGCTACACAATTATCATAGCTGAAGTTGCCTATCTTAATTCAACTTTGTCCCGTAGTGTAGACATATCATTAGAGACTAAGGGTATGTCTAGTCTACAGGCTTTTGTCAACAGAAGTTTTGTCGACAGATACTGTTGACAAAGCTTCTGTTGACAAAGAGCATCTAGACTACAGCCAGTTCTGTTGAAAAAGCAAGCCACTTTGTCGGCAGGACAGTGTAGACGCAAAGGACAGTGTAGATGCAATAACGCCTTCTGTCAACAGTACTCTGTCGACAAAAGGCGTTATTCCTCGTAGAATGACATTTACTGCCGTCGACAAAATTGCTGACAAAATATGTCGACAGCACTCAGCGGCAGTGTAGACGCAGGTATAGTTTTGTCCACAAAAGTCCACTTTTGTCGACAAAACCCTGTAGTCTAGACACACCCTAATAGATTCGGCCATAAGCTTTTGTGGGTAAAACCCACTTCATCAGATGAATTGGAGTGAAAGTTACAGGAAGCAGGTGTGTGTGTGTGTGTGTGTGTGTGTGTGTGTGTGTGTGTGTGTATTTATGTGTGTGTGTGTGTGTATATATATATATATATATATGGAAGAAGTTGCTTATGTTAATGAAGCTAATCAAGTCATGTAAAAATTATAAGGTTTTGACTGCATCACAACTGTAATCATAAAATTGTGTTTTCACCACCGTTTGTGAAACCAAAATTTTGTATGAATTTTGCAAACTGCAAGTTTTGTGCTTTTAGCCAAGATGTTTTCCTTCAAGAAGCAAAACCATTTTTGTGACAAGCACAGTCAGAGAAGAGAAGTGAAAAGCTATATTTCCTTAGAAGACCAGTGTCAGTGTTGCATAGAAAAATACAAAAATTGAAAAAATAATGGACTGTTCATGAACAGTTTACAATCAATCTAGAACACAAAAATGTTTTTAAAAACTGTTTGTCAGTTTTCAATATCAAGCATATTTTAAACATCACAAGCTGTTTATGAACAGCAAAAAAATTAAATATAGAAAATAAAATAAGTGGCATGCAATAAATAGGTCGACCAGCTCTAGCAGAAAGAAAGCTACTTAAGGTCTTCCATGTAGTAGTCTTCCTTTTAAAAATTCATAACAGAAATGTGATTTTCATTTTCTTATTAAATTACATTAAGCAACTTTTCATCATTACATATTGTAATAGCATGTGCTTTAACATGCCATTACATAAATTTACACAAATTAAGTTATTTAATGTAATTCAATGATTTTTCAGGATGCATTCTTTAAAATGAACAAATTGGAAAGCAACAATACTAAAATTACATTAGAAAATGTTAAAGAAAAATTTCAGTGTAATACAGCTATTCAATCACTACTTCAAAGTATAAAGGAGAAAAAATCAGTTTAAAAACAACTTAAGCTCCATTTTTTTCTTGGCTTGCACTGGTGTAAATCAAAATAACTGCACTGAAGCCACCATCTGATAGTGTGATAAAACATACTAGAGCTATAAAAATTCAGCTTCCATTTATATGGAAATAAGAGAGAACTTGCAAAGTTGTTGTTACATAGGTTCCCACCCCTACATTTTAGACAGTTTCAAAATAGGCTAAACATAATAGTTTAGCATAAATGGAAAATAGACCTGGCCTGACAGGTTTGGAGTGCCCTTGTTTTCACATCCATTCAAACTGGAGCTGAACAGTTTCAGTCCTGTTCAGCATAATCAAAAGGACCACCTGCAGGGACCATAAGTAATATGGCAGCTTTCACCGGGTTCCAGTCAGTTTCAGAGAAAATGAGAGTACCAAATGTTTTTGAAATGCAGTTTTGAATATTTATTTTAATCAGCTTTTTTTAGTGTTGGGAAAACATTGACTTAATGTGACCCATTAAGGATTCACATAACACTGCTATTTGAGTGCATTGCATTTTATGCGATTTTTATGTGGGTGAAGGCAGAAATCTAGACTTACACATTTACATATCTAGAAAATTCTAGCTAATTACCAAGGTCTAATTAATGCATTGAACTCAAGGTTTTTTTTAAAAAAAAATGTTTATTTTAAATATGAAATAAAAAATGCTTCAGCTCAGGATTGAACTGGTACAAGCAGTTGTCATTTCAACATCCTATTGTACTATCTTGTGACTGGGAAATAGAGGTTGGTTATCTCCTCGGCTTTGAACATCCATGTTTTGTAGGTTGTATAACAACTTTTACAGTAGTTTTCTTCTATGAATTCAGATATCTAAAAGGGTGTCATAAGGAGGAGGGAGAAAACTTGTTCATCTTGGCCTCTGGGGATAGAACAAGAAACAATGGGCTTAAACTGCAGCAAGGGAGGTTTAGGTTGGACATTAGGAAAAAGTTCCTAACTGTCAGGGTAGTTAAACACTGGAATAAATTGCCCAGGGAGGTTGTGAAATCTCCATCTGTGGAGATATTTAAGAGTAGGTTAGATAATTGTCTATCAGGGATGGTCTAGACAGTATTTGGTCCTGCCATGAGGGCAGGGGACTGGACTCGATGACCTCTTGAGGTCCCTTCCAGTCCTAGTATTCTATGATTCTATGAATGGTTAGGAATATGAAGCCTTCGACGTGTCTTATTCACAATAGGATAAGTTAGTCCGTCTTTGCTCACAGTGGATTTTTTAGTCATAACCGGTTTAGTTGTTTAATGTATGGACAGTCAGTGTTCCTTAACTCTGTGTCTGATCTGTCATCCTCATCTGAGATTACTCTGCAGTGCTGCTGGCTGCAGTAAACTTCTGGTATAAGTCAACAAGTGCTTTGAATGTAGCTTTTGTTCAGAGTGAAATTACTTGACAAAACTGATGTCAGTGCAGATTTTAAGCTATGCTTCCAACATTGTTTGAGGAAAATATTTTTTATAAATGATAATGATACATTTGTAACCACCCTGGCCTCCTAACTCCTGCACACTAGCAAACTGTAACTAAAAACTCATGGCTAACATTTTCACCAATAAGAACCCAGAGTTACGCTCTCAACTCCAATATGGGCTCATAAATAAAAAATGGGGTAGTTTTTTTTGTTTGTTTGTTTTTTTAGAGAGACTCAAACTTCAGTAGCTGTTTGGCACCAAACTCCCTTAGTCACTTCTGAAAATCCCAGCCCTGATTCTTAAAGGTGCTGAGCATCTATTGTCTCCTATTAAAGTCAATGACAACTGCTGGGTACACAGCATTTTGGAAAAATGGGGTAGTTTCTAGAACTGTCTGGGAATTTTCTGTCACTGTTTTTTCAAAAGTAAGTGTGGATTCCTGGGGGAAATGTTGATTTTGCTGAAATTCTTCAATTTTCTTAAGGGTTAGAATCCCTGGTTGGATTATACCAGGATCTCCCCTCTATCTTAGTCATCATGGAAGTCCCTGATGTGTAATGGAAAAGAGGGCTTGCTTGAGGAGTCTAGCCCCTAGGGGAAATTGGGAGCACAAGGCACAATGGCATCTCAGATAGCAACAGATTAATACTGGACCAAAATATTTTATTTCGGTTTGGGAATATCAAAATACTGCTTTTCAACATTTTAAAGTTGATTCTTTTCCAGAACTTTTCACTTAGCCTCAACCTTTTCTAGGATGGTAATAATGTTTTTCTGACAGCTCTGTTGGTTATTGAGGTACCTAAATATGGTTTTAGGTCCCTAACTGTAAGCTCTTCTGTTTGAAACTCTTGGCCTGTCAGATGTATCTGTGCCTATGCATAAAGCCATGTGTGTTTGTAGGAGTGGCCAGATCCTCCTGCAGATCCCCACACTACAAGAGTGCCTGCACTAGTGTTCCATTCTCTGGGAAGCAGCGGGAGATTCCATCTCCCACAACTCTCTGCTAGGCCTGTGAATTCTAGCCTTGTGCAAGGGTTCCTGTGTTTTAAGCATGTGAGAAAGAGAGAAGACAAAGAGGGATAAAATGTATGTTGTAGAGTATATTCAAACTGCATTTCTTGGGATTTAACAGGTACAAAGGACTATAGCAAAGCAGATTCAGATGGTGAAACAGATAGGTAAAGGTCGCTATGGAGAAGTTTGGATGGGAAAATGGCGTGGAGAAAAGGTAGCTGTAAAAGTCTTCTTCACCACAGAGGAGGCCAGCTGGTTCAGAGAGACAGAAATCTATCAAACTGTCCTGATGAGACACGAAAACATTTTGGGTAAGTGAATGAAATAAAAGATAAGGGATAATACTGTGTTAAGTTTCTTAGGTTTAATAACTTTGTAGTTGCTGGTGTCCTTTTCTTCATGCCTTTTGTTATCTGCCATGCTTTGTAGTTAAACACAAATGTTTCTCTCTCTATTTGAGAGAGATGTCTCTCTTATGGCTGCTGGGTGTTTGTTTGATCCCTCACTGGAAAATTACATCCTGGAGCAACCAAGAACTGAGTAGACCTTGATTACGCAAACTGCTTTTGCACTCCATCGTTCTGCAAGCAAAGACAGAGAAGGATATTTGTGTGTAGTTTCTTCTGCTCCTATTCACAGTTTAACCCTTAACCTGGGGATTAGAAAGAAAGAATTTACAAACTTTTTAATATAGCATATAATCACTCAAAGTAATTCTTGTGTATTTTTTCATGCAGTGTAATCCCCATTTTGATTAACTTTAGTATGAGATGTTAATAACTGAATTTAGTAGAGCCTGAATAAAGAACTTGAGCTTGTAGCTAAAATACATAGGTAGCTGAGAGATAAGTTATAGTTGTGTGTGGTGTTTAACAGCCCCGAAAAAATATTAATCTGAAAATCTTTCCCCTCCTATAGGGTTCATTGCTGCAGACATTAAAGGGACAGGGTCTTGGACCCAACTGTATCTTATCACAGACTACCATGAGAATGGCTCCCTATATGATTATCTCAAATCTACTACCTTAGATACCAAAGCCATGCTAAAACTGGCCTATTCCTCAGTTAGTGGCTTGTGCCACTTGCACACTGAGATCTTCAGTACTCAAGGCAAACCAGCTATTGCCCATCGTGATCTGAAAAGTAAGAACATTCTAGTGAAAAAGAATGGAACCTGCTGCATAGCAGACCTGGGCTTGGCAGTTAAATTTATTAGGTGAGTAAAATTAAGTGCATTTCTTTGTGTATGAATTCTTTCCTGGCCCCAGGCTTGTGAATGTCAGCAGAAAAATGGGTGTTTTTAATTGCAAGGGTTCAGAGAGACACCATTGCTCTTTCTGTATCATTTTGTGTATGTAGAGTGTGCGTGGCACATCCTTATAATATAGTAGTGGCATGTATACTATGTATTGCATGCTTGTAAATAGCTATTTTGTATCTAAATGGTCATTCTAGTATTTGCATATGTATTCAATTTAGCGTAAGCTGTATTTAATAGACAGCTGATCAGTATTATTGACTGTAGAGATGGGAATTGGGGTTTAAAGTAGTGACCATATGTGCGATCAAACATCTGAATAATTGATTGACAGCACATACAGAATAATTGAAATAATCTGTACATGTATTGAAAAGTAGACTCGTTGTGCTGCTCTTTGTTTCATTTCCTTCCAATCAAAGTAAATTGTGGGTTGCATTTTAAGAGACCATACTGGAAAACATGGCTTTTCTTAAGTGTTTAAAAGAAGATTCCATACAAGATTTTAAATTGATACGATTTAGAGTACAGGCAAAGGCAACCTATTTTCCTCTATCAATAGATTCATCTGTACAAATGTCCTTCTTTAGACTCTTCCTAGAGAAAAATAAGTAATTGTTGCTAATTATCTGGAAAATAATAACTTGGAATTGTATCCAAGTAAAGCTTTACAATGTGTAAATGTAAAGGAAAGCAATTTATCCTTTTCCTGTATGTGTTGCCTCGCCTAAATATAGTAACACGCCCAAAGGGTATAAATCAAGAAGAAATAGAACCAACCATTTGTTGCTGTGTAACAGGACACAGTAATACCATTCTTTTATTATGATCCAACCAACATTTATTTCATATGTTTTTGGCCCTACCAAAGTCACAACCATGAAAATGGACCACGAACTCTGGTTTCTTTCTCTGAAATGTGGGTTTTTATGTGTCTTTACCCTATATTATACAAATTTCACAGGGGAGACCTGGTTCTCAAATTGTGGGTCCTGACCCAAAAGGGAGTTGAAGGTCACAAGGTTATTTTAGGAGGTTGTGGTATTGCAACCCTTATTTGAGTGCTACCTTTATAACTATTTGAAGGCTTTGAAAGTAGCACGCTGCTAGTAGCAGTGCAGGAGTAAAGGTGGCAAAATTGTATCATGCCATCCTTACTTCTGCACTGCTGCTGGCAGCAACTCTGGCTTCAGAGCTGGGCTCCCAGCCAGAAACTGCCACTCTCTGGCCAGCATCTGCCCAGATCTGAAGGCAGTACCACCACAAATAGTAGCTCAGAAGTAAGGATAGTAGTATTACAA